AGGGCTTTGTGGTGCAACAGAAAATGACCATGAGTCAACACCAAAAGAAGCAAGGCCAATGTTTACATACTGGACTCATACAAATTCACCAAGACTTCACAAATGAAAGCTTGCATTACTTGTAATATCCCCAGTTGTTACCCTATTATCACCCAACCCAAAGAATCATTGTCTGAATTAACCATGGTTCCATCAGGTTCATATATTTATTGATCTTGCCATGCTGCTCCATTTGTACAGTACATGTGTTGAGAGAGCATGCATTGGAAGAAAATGAATAATACAGCTCCATTAATTACCATCACTGTTTGGTTACCACCATTTTCTTATCACCAACAATGATTAAGTCATTGGGTAAATACTCCCAGGCAGGGAGCTTTGCTTGCAGCAGGACATCTTGCACTTGGCAATAATTTTGAGGGGGAAAAATAACCTAAGAGTGGTGAAATAATTCCCTGTTCATTGTTCAGTTACTTCAGTGATATCTCCCCTACAGCCAGGTGGATTTCTTGGTCATATTTTTGCACTTTCCTTAACCACTAATAAAATATCCAGTGTGAAGAAGTCAAGAAAGGAAGTTTTTTCCACCCAAGTATCCTTTCCAAAACAAGCAAACTGAACTCCAGAGCTGGCTTGTTGCCTCCATCGTGACATGCGGTTTTGTCACTTGCTCCCATCTCTACAATAAGTGTTGATTCCTGAGCTTACTCTAGTCTAGGTAGACACTCTACCTGTATTTACTTCCCTGAAAACAGCTGGCTACATCTTAAACTGTACACAGCTGGAAATCCAATTTCAGATGTACCAAAGTACCAGTTTAAAGCAGATAGTGAATTGTTCCATTCCCCCATGGACACTTTTAAGGGGGGAGCCTGAGGTTTGCTGCTCCTCACATATGTACCAGTAATTGTTGTTGGGAAATGTGACAGATAGTAACTGGAATCTTACAAGCAGAATAATGATGTTGGCAAGGGCAAGGCAGAAGCTGAAAAACAACTATTCTCTCTCCCACACTCTCACAGGGTCTAGCAGGAAAAAAAATAAACTCAGTCTTATTGGTAAGGCATACAGAAATAGCTTTAGATACAAATTACTTGTTCATAGTCAGATACATGGTCTTATGGAGGAGAGAGAAGGAGAGAGAAAATGCCTACAGATAGAGTGATGCAGAAAGAGAATGGGTGCAGAAAAGCATAAAAACAGAAAGTCAACAAACATGCAAACTTGCTATTATCGTGAGTAGAGCAGTGCAACAATCCTACCACTGCCCAAGTGCTTAACAACAAAACTTACCAAATGGCAGTCTGGATTATAAGAGTTGCTAATGTTGTTCCACTTTGAGGTCCTAAATCACAGTAGCAGAGGCTGAGAGTTAAAAGCTTTCTGTTCCCCTCTAATCCACAAGTAAGTTTATTCACACCATCATCGCCGCACCTATAAAGAAGGTAATGCATTAGATATATATGATCTTCAAATACTGACCCTAATATACCTGCTACATTTTTTCCACTGTTGTTTTACATTGCATAAATTTGATAATAGTTGAGTCAGCTCAATGAACTTGGAAAGACTTAAATTGAGAACATTAGCTAAACAACGTTAACAGCATTATTTAATCT